TCACTGCTCCTCCATGGCCATGCAGCAGGCAAGAAAAACAGGTGCCGCTGGCTAAGCTCATTCACACTCTAATGTACACACCTCCACAGTAAAAAGAATCCAACTCCAGGTCTAGACTATAGAAAAATTCAAAAGTTAGGAGGCAGCTGTCACTTTTAAGAAGCATACAGGGCTCCTGGGATTTGTGCATGCCTGTTTTAATCTATAATTTATTTTCATATATACTGTATATATGTATAAGGGTTGCACCGATACCATTCCAAGTACTTACAGATACAATTACTGATACATTTTTGTTTAGTGTCATGTAACAGTTTTTTTTTAAAACAATACAGTCTAATGATTTCAGGACAGTGGTGGAGTGCCAGGGCCCGGTCCCAGCTTCAACCGCTGCAACTCTGGTAGTTCTCATGAAAATGCCAAGCATCAGCACTAGTAGCTGAACATCTGTACTTTAAACAGACTGGCACAGTTCGGCTCAATTCTGCCCTCTCCAGGGCTTAGTCATAGAGTAGCTAAGCCTTTAAAATAATGCCAGAAATACCTGTTTTTATTTTTATCATACAGGTCACGTGACCACTTTTCTTGTTCTGCTGGACTAAGCTGCAGCGGATCACTGCAACAACGAAATTGTCACTTAGAGCTGCAGGGACAATAGTAAATCATCCTCCCTGAAGGTCAGCTCAGCAATCCTCCCTAAGTTAAATACAGCATTAATGTGCAACCACACCTTGTTAATGATTATAGTAAGGGATGAGCTGAGGACTTCATTTTGCATAAAAGCTTACTACACTGGGAGTGATGTCTAAAACTAGTACCTGAAACACAATACCGGTGTATAAACCAGGCCAATGTATGATATTACTTCTTGATGATAAGCATGTGACCAGGTCACCTGTGCTGGCAGCAATCCAATTTGCAAGTGGTGTTGCAGAACAAGTGGAGTTGTCACTCAAGCATGTCCACTGGCATTGCTGTCTGTGACGTGGGCATCCATGAAGATTACCCCAAACAGTAAGCTATGAGCAGACATTGCTCAGTCAGCTATAGATGACTGACTAGAAGAGCTAAAACATGAACACTATGGATGGTGGCAATAGTGAGGAGGCTCTTTGAGTCTACAGATCAATGCCACTGGGAAGAAAAAAGTAACAGTAAATGGCATATTTTCTTCTTTTTTTGGGGGGGGGGGGTTACAACTGATTTAAGTGAACATACTCTACTACGCCAATGAATAGGTTCAGTTTACTGGCCATAAACTAGTATGGAGCCCACAGGGCAGGATATAACTGCTTCCAGTAGGGCTTTATCATACAGCTATTTTGCTATGTGGATTTGAATTTGTTCTTGTGAGTGTTTTACAGATTTTTGGAGGAAACATGTGAAGTAATATAGATTACAAACAGACACATTACTGGGTTAGATAATGTAATAAGAGCCATGCATACAGTTTTGCTACAATTTTAGTGTTTCAAATGATATGTGAAGCTAACAACACTTTTCCAAATTGATACAAAGAGTGTAGCACATTCATATGTAGATTTGGAAGAAAGAATAAAAATGTTCGAAGGGAAAAAAAAATGAAAACTGTAATTGATTATAAAAGATAAAATAGAACACCTCACTATCAATTTCTATACAAAAGCACTTGCAGACACTGAGTGGAAATATATTCATTAAAAGTGCAAGCTGGTCAGATAATGTACATTTGGAGGAGTTGGTAAAGAAATCAATAATTTAGAAAAAAGCTTTTCAGAGATATATATTTTCAAGTAGATCTTATAAATTGAAAGAGGTGTTTGAAGCATGTTCAGCTGAAGAAATCCTGTGAGAAGGGAGAGATGAGTTTAAAAGGATTTAGGACATCAAAGACTATAAAGGAAAAGGGCACATAGATGAAACATCTTTGGTGTGACAGTGGGAGAGTGAGTTTGGCTACATGGGATTATGTTTATGGAAGAATATGTAGTGTACATTTTAATGAATGAAAGGTTGTTTCAGTGACAAGCTGCCAGAGGATATCTACAACATGAAAGCTTTCCCACCTACCAAGAAAAAATAATTGCCTTCTACAAGATGGCAACACCTTCAGGGATGAGAAGATATCTGCAGGAAGTGTGAATCGCCTTATTAATGAACCTTAATGCCGTAGTGGATTAAGGTATCTATAAACACTAGATTATTGCTACCTTGTTGTGCCATTAGCAGCTGACATGACTAGAGAGTTTCACAGGTCTCAAGGCTGCCAGATTTTTGCTTCTGAAAAAAAGCCTGACTTCAGGGTTGCCTGAAGTGGCCACAATCATTATATGAATGAGTTTGCCTGTATGCTTGTTATATAGCAGAATGTCTTTCAGCAGTCTGGTTTGCTGAATCCTATAGTACTATTAACTGTACATTACATTTTATGCACAGCCAAAACCTTTTTCAGCTTTGGATAGAATAGGGGAGGGTTTAAGTCCCTGCCAGTTTATTTGTTGCATTCTGCTTGCCTTTGGGGAGAGTTCACATTGCTGCCTGTCCTGAGGATGCAATAAGAAGTAAATGGTACAATATAAGGTAATTTCCTTTTCAAACAGCTGTCACTCAATGGAAAATTTCCTCTCAACTCTTGTTCTGGTGACAACAGTAACATTTTGGATTTTCTACCAATTTCTGTCTCAGTCCCCAGCACAAAGAGAGGAGGTGAATCTATCTAGCAGATACACATCCATCAATACCAACTTTCTAGGGTTTATAATATTTTCCTACTCTAACCAAAGCCAAGGAAAATGTTTGAATACACATACACTTAAACTGGGAGACTAATTTATGTGCTTTAATAGGCTGCCACTTTGGAGGAAGATATAAGTTCAATTGATAAGCCTTAAATATATATAGGACACCAATGATATACTGTTGATGAACCCGAAATGATAACACATGGTAATACAAAAGAAGTGTTGCTATATTATACCAGTTGTTAAAATACTATCTGTCAGCACACCACTATACCATGAGAAAAGTTAGCATACTTCTGTATAACACTACACAGGTTAAAGAGAAGTCCTGATAATGTGTAACTTTTAGTCCATTTTCACGTTTCTGCTTCTGTTATGGCTAACACAGAACAAACCTGTTTTGTGATTATAAACTAACCATAAGACTTTGCAACAAAAGCTTTCTATACATTTCAGAAACACAGAAGGATTTTAAATGGTTTCCTTTTTACCACTGGTAACACATATGGACTTATCATGACATAACACTTGTGTGAGCAATTCGTTTTATAACACCAATGCAAGCACCACCTACTGTGTTGCATGTTCATCCCTCAAAATATTAACAGAAGATGAGTTGTGCTTCATATAATGGGAAATACAATTCTGTAACCAAGAGCTGAATTATGCTTAGCAATCTTATAGGCTAGTTGAGTCACTTGCTTTTAGGTGCTGACAATAAAATAATACAATGCAAATTGCAGCAAAGGGGTAAAGAAGGCTTTGTAATGTAGTATAACCATGTGGCATTAGTTATATTGCTTTCCTTACCTAGTGAGTACTTGGAAATGCTGAATATTTAATCATTTCCGTAAATATCGACTGTTTTCTCTAATTTGACTAAACTTCTAAATATTGTATACAATTGTCTTAACACGTTACAGTTAAACTTGTTACAACAATAGCTTTATATAAAAAGAACAATATAAGCTCATATTAAATAGGTTTGGGGTTCTTGCTGTTCAAATACAGCAACACAGCTGATTGCACCAGTGCATAAGAATTAAACTCTGTGACCTGGTGGAGATCTTTAGATTCTAGGTCCAGACTGTACCCAGGCCTTCGATCCTCTCTGCTATTCTAACTTAACCCTGATGCCTGACAGCCTTAAGCACTGCCTCTATCACTTAAAGTATACCCGCACCTTTGATGCAGTTACACTTACATAAGAGCGCACCCTGCCCTTAGCCCCCCTTCTTAGTTTAATACTCACTTGTCTCCAATCACTAGTAATGTTTCAATCAACCAGATACTGTCTAGATCACCTAGATGCTTTTTAAAAATCTATGCAACCAGGCCCACGCATGCTTTCTACAATCCCCAAACAGTGCTATTGATTGGAGAAGTGTTTAGGGGGTGCTTTGGGCTGCTGGAAACCAATGCCATTGCACTCCATGATATAGCAGTGGGCTGAGTCTCCAGAGTGCTGCAGCTTTAAGTCCTTGCTGCAGCTAAAAGTGTGTAAAAAAACCCAAATCACAAGAATATTTTGTTATTGTATATGAAGCTTGACTGCATTACAATAATAAATGGAGAAGGTTCAACTAGACTTTAAAGGCTACTGTAAATAACGCAGCAAAGTTTAAAAAAAAGCCATAGTATGCATGCATATACCATTTTGTCAAACGTTTTTAAAGAGCATTGCATATGGGCTCTTTGGCCTGCCACTTTTATTCTCACTGCCTAATGAGCTGATCACATTAGGTTTTTCTTTCAGGCAATATATTGACATGTACATTTTTTGATGTACCTTATCAGAACAGAAGGCACAATAGCAATATTATTTGGATGTTCAATGATATGGCAAACTAGGACTGGGCCTTATGCATTATGCTTTAGTCTATGATTTTGCTATATGCTGTAGGTTCAGGGATTATGTTTGCTAGCTATGTACATCTTAACACTCATGCAAGACAACAGTGCATACATACTATAGTGATGTATTCCTGCTCTTGTTTAATTACTTTAATTACTTTAGTAAATCTTATATTTTTATAATTGTGCAGATTTGTGTACAAAAGATTTGATTCCATATCTCTACTTGTGTGAGTCTTCCTGCTTCTTCATTAAAATACAAATCTTTATTATCTTTACTATTAAAGATTTTAATTACAGGTTTAAACTTACATGTAACATCAGCAGCTGCACTTCAAAAATGATCATGTTCTTTGATACAACATATGACACATAAAATCCCCAAGTTACTATCCACATTTTTCAGCCCACAAGCTATTACCTTACCTTGCAGTGTTAGCTGCTTGGATAATTTTGTAGTGATGTCTATTCCATTCTTAAGCCAGCTAAGTTGGGGCTGTGGGATTCCGTCAGCGTGACATCTAAGACTGGCAGTAACACCTGGCTCTCTGGCCTGGCTTTCTGGAAATACTCGAATAACAGGTGGGACTATAACAGAAAAAAGAAATAATACAGAAATCAAGATAATACATTTAATGTTCTGAATCATTATATTAAAAATGTATTGTGTAAGCTGCCTACGGCAGCTTAGTGAATAGACCCCCATAGTGCCCACTATATGTATACTTCCCAGTTCTTCAATAAAATTTGGGATTCCATCCCATTGGAAACTGCAAGTGAGTCTCAAAATACAGTGCCCATTGGTTCTAGACTGATGTTTTAGCCATTGGTTTTGAGGGTCCATCTGGAGGCTGCACCAAATGTGTATGCATTGACTGAAATTAATATTACATCTCTCTTCTCTGTTATATGCCTAGTGGGTTGGGCAAATATTTTTTAGAAAAAAACAACAAACATTGTTATATGTGAAGTTAAGGTGGAAAAAAGCTCTGTTTTGTACATAATATTTCTTTGCTTACCATTCACTTGAAGGATATGAGTTTGGAAAATATTATCATAGCCATCAGCATGACAGCTGTAATTCCCCATGTGGGTTGTGGTAGCCTTGGTAATGTATAAAGATCCATCATCTCCGAAATCCTAAAGGAATCATTTAAAAAAAACAAGGTTACTATAATTATTGTAATAGTATAACATTAATTCTCTTCTCCAATGTGGCACATTAATTGCAATGCAAGACACTCATTACAATCATGAATGATAAATTGAGTCCTTAAGCTGATTCAACATAGAAAAGAGAAGAGTGAGAATACTGTAACTGGTAACATCATAACAATTTTAGGCTGTTATAATGACCACCAATAAATCAGCACCCCCTATGCTACAAGGCTGTTTAACCAGTTGAAGACCAGGTGTTTAGACCCCCTTCCTGTCCAGGCCATTTTTCAGTATTCAGCACTGCGTTACTTTGACTGACATTTATTCCGTCATGCAATGCTGTACTGAAATTAATTTTATACCATTTTTTGGGGACAGATAGAGCTTTCTTTTGGTGGTATTTATTCACCACTGGGGTTTTTATTTTTTTCTATATTTCAGAAAATTTACAGAAAATTTTGGACAAAAAAAAGTGTTTTTTACATTATGTTACGAAACAATTATTATTACCCAATTTTTTGGTAAAATATAAAAGACAGGGTCACATCGCGTAAATAGGCACCAAACATGTCAAAATTGCGCGCTCCCGCGAAATTGCATAAAACTACAATACCCAAAATTGACCATTGGCAACGCTTTAAAAGCTTTTTAACGCTCAGTTTAGTGTTATCAGTGATTGATGGCCCTAAAATTATTGCTCTCACTGCGACGTTCACGGCGATATGTAACATGTGCGGCGTAATGGGCGCAATCATCGTTTTCACAGGTATGCGCACCTGACGCATGTTTACATGCGTGTTTGTATGTGGGGGCTTTTAAATTTGTTTTTGTTTTTTTAATTATTTTTTATGTGTGACTTTAATTTTATTTTGGAAACTTTAGTTTGTTTTCCACTTAACTTTATTGCTATCACATAGGGGGCTAAGAAACCCCTCTATGTGATAGCAAAATATGTGGCAGGTCCTCTTTATGGAGACATCAGGGGTCTCCAAGACCCCTAATGTCACCTAGGACCCCCCTGAAGAAGCTGATGAAGCAGAGATCTGCTTCATCAGCTTCTCTCCAGCGTCTGAAGCTGGAGAGTGACACAAGAATGCGGAAGTGATGTAATATACATCACTTCCGCATTCTGGCAGTGGAGAGGGGACCGGAGGGTGCTCGTGTACCGAGCTCCCTCTGATCTCCTGTGACAGAGGCCGTATGCTGGTCCCGGGCTCGCACCGGGCACAGCGGAGCCCGGGACCGGCGTGACAACGGGAGGGGGGGCGCGTGGGGAGGGGGGACACGGGCCGGCAGCTCATACAAGCGATCCGCCAGCTCTATAGCCGGCGGATCGCTTGTATGTTAACAGGCATCGGTGCCTGTTTTGAAATCGCTCTGCGTGCAGGTGGGCGTGGCTGAGCGGACGTCTAAAGACACTTCATCAGCTTCTCTGATTCCTGATTGGCATCAATGCAAGCCTGTCAGAGTCCTGATTGCCATCAGTGCCAGCCTGTCAGCCAGTCAGAGTCCCGATTGCCATAGTGCTAGCCTGCCAGTCAATTCAGAGTCCTGATTGGCATCAGTGCCAGCCTGTCAGCCAGTTAGAGTCCTGATTGCCATAAGCGCCAGCCTGTCCATCCGTCATCATCTTGATTGCCATCAGTGCCAGCCTGTTCACCCTTCAGAGTGCTTCCTGATTGCCATCAGTGCTAGTCTGCCAGTCTGGCAGAGTCCTGATAGCCATCAGTGCCAGCCTGCCAGTCTGTCAGAGTCCTGATTGCCATCAGTACCAGCCAGTCAGTCCATCAGAGATAATTTTTCATAGCTTAACATAGAGAAAACATGTTATTTTTCAAAATTTTCGGCAATTTTATCTTAATATAGTAAAAAAATAAAAAACCCATTGGTGATTAAATACCACTAAATGAAAGCTATATGTGTCCCCAAAAAAATGATATAAAATTAATTATGGTAAGGCGATGCATGGATGCATAATTCTTAGTCAAAGTACAACAGTGCTGAATACTAAAAAATGGCCTGGACAGGAAGGGGGTTTAACACTACTGTCATCAGGTGCTTACAAGACAACTATGGTCCAACCTTTTTTTGCCATAGTTCTCTTTAGGGTCACAGGAGGACATATACTAATGTCCTCTGGTGACCCAAAACTCAGTATATAGCGGGCTATTGCCCACTATATGCTGAGAGCGCAGAACCGCGCTCCAGCCAGGACAGATCCTGACTATATTGCCGGGATCCACACTGCTGGCTGACTGACAGCTGGCTCTCTAGAGGCTGAACCAGCTGTGCCTACCTCTCCCCCATCTATTCCTCTGGTCAGCTCTGGAGAAATGGAGAGGGGAGGGGGGGGGGGAAATACCTGCGGGCAGTGCCAGTCACCACTTTCTGAAGGAAGAGGAAGAGGAAAGCCAGTGATCGGCGCTATATGTTCGTTGAGTTCCTGATCAATAGAGCCAACCTGTGACAGCTTCAGCTACAGGTCAGCTTGAATTATGGGGATGAGTGCATTTTACTCGCCTCACAATTCTTGTTTAAGTGGAACATTTGGTATCTGACAAAATGAACAATGGTACAACAACTTATTGCAACACTAAGTCAGCGGGGCAGAGCATTAGATGGTAAAATATAGGGATGCACCGATACCGGTTTTTTGCTACTTGCCGATACCAAATACTGAGTACTGGAAGTCCCATTCTTCAGGAAGCCAGGCGGCGTGTAATGACTCACCACCTGGTTTCCTGATTAGCTGGGAAGCTCGGCAGCGTGTAAAGACTTGCCACCCTGCTTCATAATTGACAAGGAAGCCATCCAATGCTTCTCGTCACTATGTGAGGAGAAAGCATGGAACCGGCTTGCTGGCGCCCTGCTTCTTGTTTGGCCGGCGTCCTGCTTCTTGATTGGCGGGGAAGCCGGCTCCATGCTCCCTCATCATGAAATGATGAGGGAGCATGAAGCCGGCTTCCTGGCCAATCAGAAAGCCGGGCGCTGCGTCATTACACGGCGCCCAGCTTCCTGATTGGCCGGGAAGTCGGCCCCATGCTCTCTCGTCACAAGTGACACGCTGCCAGGCTTCCTGATACAGGAAGTATCGGGCTAGGCATCGGAGCATTTGGGTGAGTACGAGTACTCAGCCAAATACTCTGTATCGGCACCGATACTGATACTAGTATCGGTATCTGTGCATCCCTAGTAAAATACATTTAAACTGTGGCAATATTAGTAAATGTGACTGAAATTGGCATCCTCATAACAAGCTGGGCACAGCTTTTCTGTCTAAGTACTCTCTTCCAACACTGATACTGTTCAGTTATAAAAAAAACATATTCTCCAATTTAACCACTTATCAACCAATGTTAAGCAGAAGCTCTATGATAAACATGTCTGATGTTTAAATGAAAACTATGGGGTCAGTTTGTCGTTTTTAGAATGCATGTGATGTCAAGTATGATGTCATACTGTGCTGAATTTAAAACTACAAGTTTCCCTTTGATATTTTAGATATGCTCAGCACTTGTCATTGGAATTATTTCTATTAAATGTTTTCTTCTGAACACAAAATAGATTCATTTGAACCTATCTGATCTTTTTTTGCTTCTTGGCATAGTGGCAAAGAAGGGAAGCGAGGAAGTATTCAAGGGTTATTGCAAGTGCATGTGTCAATAAGCTGAGAGACATACAGATGCATAATTATGCATATCAGTGGCCACAGAAAGAACATAACATAAAATACGAAGAATTTCTGAATCTTTTTTTTTTTTTGCAAAATATTTTATTATTTTCTACATTATTAAACATAACAATGCATGCCACTTGTTCCCGACAAGGGAACCAGGCGTAGCTATGCACCCAAAAAACAATACACCCACACTTAGTCAAAAATAATAAAATAACCGGGAATGAGATCCCTGCGTGGTTAACCCGGGGGGGAAAACCCGCTGAGTACAGGCGGGGTGGGGACACTCCCCAACATAGCTCTTCAACTGTGCTTGACACCATATAGGTATAACATTTCAGGATTATAACACTAGAACATTTTAACAAGGAGGTAATGCCATTACGTTGAACTCAGGTCTCCTCTGGTTCGACACCGTCACATGAGTGTACCCATATTTAGGCTAATGCATTCAGCCAGTACAGCGAAGATGGCCGCCTCTGAGACACCACAAGGCCTCCCAGACGAACGGGTCGACCTGCTCTTGTTGCGCTTCATGTATGTCCCCACCGAGGAGGAAATCAGGTAGAGGATGCAGTCGGCAACACCTGACCTCAGGTAAGTAAAGGAAATCAGCACCAGGATAGGTTCAGGATGGTAGATTGAGCGGAGCACTCCATTTGCACGTCTGCACGGGATCACATGCCTACCACGCCCCCGAAGAATTTCTGAATCTTTACATGACAACAAAATTGTTTGCTCCCACAACAGATATCTTTGGGGCATCAGCAATATGTCAGAAAACCCAATGAATTTGAGAGGAGCAAATATTTTATAATCTGTCCCACCAGTGATTAGTTTGATAAATCATTTCACATTACCCCTTTACATTGCAAGTTGTACATTTTCAATATGGGATTTTATTGAGTTAATTATTTTAAATGGGAAATTGTATAAAAAGTGACCCATCAAGCATCTTAGTGTGTTTGATAAATGGAGCTCATTGCTCTCTAATTTAAGTGTATTAAAATTTGTTATCAATGATCTGATTAGTTTCAAACAGAAACCATCATGTATGAGCAGTGTAAGAATCATACAATCATTCAAAACATATATTAAGTGAAAGGCAGTGCACCCTGTATCTCAGGTTCATAACATAACATCAACGCAAAGCATGGTACTCCATATACATTAGAGGGTGTTTGGATTGTGCCTGCAGAGCAAGCTACAAAATTGCAAGGTCAGCTCAAGCTTCCATTCATTTAGAGAGGGTTAAAAGGGTGTAAGCAGCAACTTTACTATGCAAAGAACAATGGCAGGTGGTTTA